TCCCCTCGCCGGCCGCGGCCCCAGGCTCTGCCATGGGGAACGTGCCCTCCGCGGTGAAGCACTGCCTGAGCTACCAGCAGCTTCTCCGGGAGCATCTCTGGATCGGAGACTCAGTGGCAGGGGCGCTCGAGCCCGCGCAGGTACCGCCTCGCGGCCCAGGGTGTCCCCACCCCCTGGCACACTGACAGCCAGCCTCTCTCCCATCAACCTCTTGGTGACCTCCCCCTCATTATGTTACCCCCGAACCCCAAGGCCCTTCCTGCCGTCGTTCTGCCGGGTGAGGCCGCACCCCTTAAAGGGTTTCGCATCGTCTCTGCTGTGTACGTATGGATCCGCCCCTGCAGGCCAGACCCAGCAAAAGCCCTACCTGTGCCCGTTTGCAGGTCGCCTGGAAAGAATCCCTTCCCTGTGTTTTTCTTGGAAGGGGTACGTTATGTAGGATAATTTGCATCCATAGCCATGCCTTCAAGGATAATTTGCATCCATAGTCATTCCTTCAAGCTGTTGCCCTTATTCTCAGTCCCCTCGTACTGGGTAACAAAGACGACAGATTTGTCACAATGTGAAGCAGAAAAAGGAATTAAACCACTGGAAAAGGTTAGGAAGACATAGTAGGAGGAAATCCCTCAGACCATGAATTATCTCTAATGTAGTTATGCTTCAGTAAACTTGAACAAGCTTGAAAAAAATTGTAAGTAACAGCGATTTCAGACTAAAATTTATTCTCACATTGTTCCTGAAAGCCCATATGAAAACAATAGGCAACTTAATATTATACATAAACTTATAATTTGATGTACTCTCAACCAATGTCAGATAAATGAAGAAAAAGGATATAAAATTACTTTTTACTTTAAAAAGCTTACATTTTAAAATTTCACAAAATATTAGTTAACTGATAATTGTTACAAAAATGTTAAAACGTGAAAAAAGGAGGAACACTATGAGGCTTATTATAATTTTAAATTACAGGTGCTGGATGTAAGAATATTTCTAATTTGTGAACAAAATAATAATTTGTGTTATTGTAATATTTTAGTGAGTAAGATGAGTACTATGGGTACTTCTAGTGGGTAAGATATTGTACTATGTGGCTTTAAATCAACTATTTTAATTTTCAGGTGTTCATTTTTTTATAATGTATTTTCAGATCAGCATATCCATATGTGACACTGCAATCTCAGCTCTACAAATTGGAATTCAGCATCTGTGGATTCTTTATAAGACACTTTACTTCTTATAATTTAAATGATGGCCATGGTCATCTAACTCAAAACCTATTGTTGACAGTGGTAGGGGGGAAAGTTATCCTTTATATTTTCAATTGTTAACATGTCTAATTTTCTTACATTCTCTTTTAGTCTACCTATTATGACTTTTCTCTTGATGTTCTTAACTTTTGTATTCCATCTGTTATTTAATCAGGAATCCTTACCATCTATTTCCTAAGTCTGAGACTTTACATGAGTCTTGTTGCTGGGTGAATATTATATTTCTCTCTCTCTTTTTATTTTCTGACTTACACATTTTGTTGGCTTTAAGGATAATGACAGAGGATCAGCTCCTGGGTAAGAAAGTCTTCTTTGCCTTGTTAAGATATGGAAGCAGGTTAAAAAAATGACTAGGATTGCTGATCAAGGAATGTGAGGAATGAAATTTTGGGATGCTCATCAGTTTAATGAAGACATTTTTGTCCCTTTCTGGAAAAATAGCTATGTCTTCTCTAAATGTTGCCTTTTCACCCACCAACTGCTTTGCCTAGAAAACTCCTATTCAACTCTCATATAAAAATGAAAAATTACTTCTTTTGTCCAATCCATTTCTCCTTCCAGAATTATGCTTCTTTCTCTGTGTTCTTGGATTTTTAAAATAACTCTGTTTTGATTCCAATCCTGTTGAATTGTAATTTTTTTTCTGTCTTATCCTGTTTGAATTCACAGCAGCATTGATACCTGACACTCAGCCTTTGAAATGTATCTTCTTCCTGGGCATCTGTTCCAACAAACCTTCACTGCTTTGAACCCTACCTCTCTGGTTTCACAATTTCCTTGGCAGACTCCATGGCCTATAGCTACCTGGTGAATACTCAGATTCCCCATGACTATATATACTCTTTCTAGTGTGAATGTGAGTGACTGTCTACTCTCACAGTGTCAGTTACTTTTTGTGTTCCAGTGTTTTCCAGATGTATATTCCCATTTTTCTCTTGAATTCCATTCCAGATGTTTAGCTTCTCACTTGATATCATCTCTTGAGTATCTCAAAAGCAACTCAAATCAACATTCCCAAAATTTCATTCATGTTCTATTCCTTCCAAACCTGGATCATATCCACGGTTTCCTGTTGCAGGGAATGCCATCATAATTCTTCAGTTCTGCAAGCCACAGACCAAGAGCTCCCTTCATTCATTTTCCCCACCCAACATATCACTGAGTCCTGTCATTTTACTTGAATTTCTTTCAAATCCATCTAAACTTCTAGCTTCATTGCTACCACCAATGTTAAAATGACATTATCTTCATATGGATGACTGGACTGTTGCAATTGTCTTACTACTCTCCATGTGTCCCTCTTCAATTCACCATCTCTATAGTTGGGAAGTGTTTCCCATGCCAAATAAAGCCATCTATGAATTCTGATTGCTTTTAGGAATGGACACCAACATTTATTTTATTTTATTTTAATTTTTTAGAGACAAGGTCTCGCTCTGTCATCCAGGCTGGAGTACAGTGGCATGATCATAGCCCACTGCAACCTTGATCTGGGGCTCAAGTTATCCTCTTGCCTCAGCTTCCCGAGTATCTAGGACTATGGTCACATACCACCGCACCTGGCTAAGTGTGTGTGTGTGTGTGTGTGTGTGTGTGTGTGTTTGTGCGCGCGCGCGCGTGCAGATGGGTATCTCACTCTTCCTCAGGCTAGTCTTGAACTTCTGGTCTCAAGCAATTCCTCCTGCACCCAGCCGTGACACCAAAACTTTTAATGGGTTCTCTGAAGCCTCAAGTGGTCTTCTCTCTCTCTTTTCTTTCCTTCCTTCCTTCCTTCCTTCCTTCCTTCCTTCCTTCCTTCCTTCCTTCCTTCCTTCCTTCCTTCCTTCCTTCCTTCCTTCCTTCCTATGGGAGACAGGCAGATCACGACTCCCAGGCATCCCACAAAGTAGGTGGGTCATCTTAGGGGCAACCTTTACCTACTCAAAAATTCATCTCACATTAGCAGTAAGGATTTGGGTATCCACCTGAATTGTTATTTTCCTTACTCATAAGTTTAAGCCATCAAATGGTCTTTTCATTGTGTCTCACAGTAACATCATCTTAAGCTATTCTTTCTTGTTCTTGCCTTTTTAGCCATAGTGACTTTGTTTGAGTTCTCTAATAAATCATGTTCCCTCTGGGAACATGGTATTTGCTTGTTTTACCCTCTGCTAGGAAAATTTTTTCAACTAATCAACTTCTATTTTAACTTCAGTTCTCAAATCAGATGTTATTTTCTCATGAAATCTTTCCCAGATTCTCAAGGCCAGTAGCCTTTGTTATACTTTTATTGCATAGCTACTTATTTGCTATATGTGATATAGGTTATGTATTTATTTTTGTACTTGCTTACTACTTGATGCATAAATCCCTGCCAAACATTCATCTCAATTAAAACAAGGATGCAATCCACCACATTTTCAGCACCTAACAGAATGTCTGGTTAGTTTTTAATAGCCAGTGATACTTGTTGAATGAACAAACAAATCAATGATTACCCTTCTTGGCCATAAGCATTCCGTGTGTATGAAGAACATGATATTCTGCTTAGCATTTGTTCAAGGTCCAGAACAATGATTGGAACATTGAAGTGCTACGGTATGTTCTTGTTAAATTAATGCAAAATCAATGACAATATGGACATGTTGTCAGTAGAGTTTGGTCTTAGTGCCCATAGATGGATATTATTACTGTATGTGTCTTACCTTTTCATGTCATGGAACCTAATTGTGCTTTGATGGAGAGATGAGGTGAAAATAGATTCTGGAGGCTGTGAAGACATAGCAAAGAGTTTAACCCATTCTCTGTTGTTAAATCTGGAGAGAGAATCATGAGTGAAACTGATTCCGATGATATGAGATAATTTGACTGCAGTTGGAAGAGACAGAAAATGCTGTTCTGTACTAGGCAATAGAAGATTGGAAATCTAGATTTTTTTTTGCCACCAATGTATCCCCTGATTTTGTGCATGTTAACACAGGCTAGATCTTAATATTTAGGTTTACACAGTAGAACTATTATATTCCTGGTAAGTTAATATGGTTAAATTAAATATCATGTGCATGTATGAATACATATAAACACATCTATTGTTTAACAGTGAACTACCAAATATAAAAAAGGTAAATGTAAATAAAAGGCTTAGTCTACTATAGACTCATTAATTAAATTCTTTGGGACGCTGCATTTTTGCTAATGATAATAGTTTTGGAGAAAATTCTCTTAATAGACCAAGAGGTTACAATCGCTCATTCTATGATTCATGCTCTCTCTTTGGATTCGTTTTATTTTCCATGTTTATCTCTGTTAATGAGCTAAGAGATGGCTTAATTAGTATGTTTTAAAGTTTTGATTAAATTTAAGGTTCCTGGTGAACTAATCTCTTTTCTATTTTCAACTGTTGCTAAATCTCTTCATATATTAATGCCCTGTGGCAACAATAAAATTTCCAGAGATAAATTCTCACAAAAAACCATTTAAAACCTATTATATTTCTAAAAATAAAATGGTAGATTATATGAGATTAAATGTATAGTTACTTTATATTAAATTCTGACCATTTATGTTATGTTTGCTGTCAGTAAAAATTATGACTCAAGTGAAGTAATTTGGTACTAAAGGGTCCCCAGAATTTAACCTAAATGTATTATATTTCTGCTTAAGTGTAATCTGAGGATAACGTAGCTATATACTTTTAGCTTGCACATATGTGGTTTATAGTACATTTTACTAAATATCTTAGAATTATTGGAGAGGAATTTTCAGGAAGAACCCAAACTACCATCACACTGTTCATTTTCTATTTGCCTCTTGTGTTCCTTGTTCCTCCCCCCGTCTTTTTCCTTTTTTGTCTTGTTTTGAAAGAGCATAGCATTTTTATGACTCATTTTCTCTCAGCATTAGCATGTTAGCTATATGCTGTTTTTACTATACTCTTTGTTGCTATTTGTAGAATGTCAACATAGAATTATGACTTATTGAAAAAGAAGTTAACACTATTATTGCTTATGTAGAATGCAAATATAGCACTTCTACTGCATTTATTGCCTTCTGCCTTTTATGTTTTTGTTGTCATATATATTTATTATCTATATGGTATATTTATAAAATATATGTATACAATAAATATTCATTTGTATCTACTTTTCTCTTTATTTTGTCCTTCATTTCTGTTCTTTCAGCTGAGATTATTATTTTCCTTCAACCAGAAGTGTTTGCTTCAGTATTTTCTTTAGTAAAAAAATCTGTGTTGGTTTATTTAACTTTTACTTTGTTTAAAATTACAAGCGCACACGCGTGCGCACACATACACACACACACACACACACACACACACACACACTACATCCAACATATATATGTAATGTTTGTAAATATAAGTATATTGAATGTATACATGTATTTTACCTCAATAATTAAGGTGTATGACAGCAGATTTCTCAATAAATACAGTGGAAGCCAGAGACAATGAAATTAGCTGTTTGTCTTGTTTTGGGTCATTTGATGATGTATTTATCTTGTATTCTCTTCTCTTCGTGTTTGGTTTCCAGTGGTTTAACTATAATTTATCTAGGTATAGTTTTCTTTGTATTCACCTGGCTAATTGTGGTACTTTCAGGATCTATGACTTGATATTTGTTGGCTTTCATTTTTGAAAAGTTTTTATCATTTTTGCCTCAAAACTTGTTTCCATTTTTTTTGTTTCTTTTTAAATTCTTTCCACTTGGATCTACAATTTGAATAATATTAGAACTTTTCCTGTACTTCATTTATTTGTTACATTCATTTTTGTACTTTTCTCCTTTTTTTTTTTTTTTTTTTTTT